TCTCCCCACACCGGGAGCACCGCTGATCACCGCCGGGGGAACGACGGTGATCGGGTAAGTACATAAGACCGTTAGGATGGTTCAGGACCATCACCTGTCGGCAATGCAAAAATGCAAATGACGGTCCTGAACCGTCCTAGGTCATTAAGGGGTTAATATTCCTGTCATCACTTGCTCTAGAATTGTTGGTAAATTCATTCAAATAAATACTGTGGTTGTGAATAACACACAAACTCTTTTGCAAAATTATGACATGGATCGCTCTGCTTTTAAACAGTAATCAGTCCCAACAACTTTAAAGGGACATCATAGTCACCAAAACTACTTTAGGTTAGTTAGTATAGATCATGTCCATGCAGTGTCACTGCTCAACTCTCTGCCATTAAGGAGTTACATAATTTTGTCCATGCAGCCCTAGCTACACCTCTCTGCATGTGACTTACACATAATTCCTAAACACTTCCTGTACAGTGGGAGCTAATGTTCACACTACTTTTACTGCCAATTCTGTTTAATCAATAATTTCTTATCTCCTGCTCTGTTAACAGCTTCCTAGACCCTACAGGAGCCTACTGTGTGGGATTAAAGTTCAATGTACAGAGCAGGAGATAAAAACTTATAAAGTAAGTTACATTTGATTGAAAGTGAAACCATTTTATTTTCATGCAGGCTCTGTCAGTCACAGTCAGGGGAGGTGTGCCTATGGCTGCATAAACAGAAACAAAAGTGATTTAACTCCTAAATTATGGAGAATTGAGCAGTGAGACTGCAGAGACATGATCTTTACACCAAAAATGCTTCATTAAGCTAAAGTTGTTTTGGTGACTATAGTGTGTCCCTTTAATTAAAGTTAGAAAAAGCAAAAGCCAACAATAGTCTTGGTTCATAAAGCTATATCATTTTCTACAGTTTCTTTGTACAGAACTCTTTTATTGGAATTGCCGAGCACTTGTAAGAATCTTGGCCGTTTGGTAATGGTTGTTTAATTATACCTTTTGAGTTGAGCTTTTTGTTCAAGTGCTACTTTCAAACAAACAGAGGGAATATTTTGTTCTACCTCGAAGGATAGTCAAGAGTAAAAAGTGACGAGAAGGGAATATGTAAAATTAGAAGTTTAATTGAATCCTTCTCTTTTCCATCTCCATTGCTGAGGTTCCCAGCTGAGAAGAACATAAGACTCTAGCCCAATCATTTTGTCGTTTAACAAGAACCTTCCTGGACATGGAGTACCTTCTCACACTGTGTTAATGCTGCTTCCAAAAACTGCAAACAAGGAGGCCTTCTTTGGTCCCAGTTAGATAACATTAGACGTATGAAGGAGCAGCCTTTCAAATTGTAAATGACAATGTAATTAATTTGGAAACAACAGGCAGTAGGCTTTCAAATGTTCAAGATATCGTAGACAAGGTGCCAAATTCAGAGCTGTTTGGTATAAGTCTAGTATCATTCATTAAATGAAGACTATAATGGTAGCAACAGAAACAAAGAAGCAAAAATTCACAAACTGAATATAATTCTGACTGGAGATAAAGGCGTAGGCACCAAAGCATCCAGTGGTATGGAACAATGTAACCAGAGGGAGACCACTAAATATCTGAAGTAACACAAAGTATCAACACAGAAATAAACTGACTCCAAATAATACTAAATACCCAACTAGCCTTATAAGGCTACTCCCATGCCTAAGGAAGTGAGGAGATAGAGTTACTAATCACCTAATTCTGCAATATACATATAGGCTCTATTAGTCCTGGCCCTTTAATGCATAGAGTGTTAGTAAATCTTCACTTAATTCCCGAGCACCAGTAATAATGCTAAAGGGAGAAAAGCTACTGTCTAGAGCAGGGGTTCTCAACCCAGTCCTCAAGGACCCCCTCTACCAGTCCAAGATTTAGGGATTACCTGGGTGTGTCTAAGGTGTTAAGAAAAAGAAAATACACTTTAGACACACCCAGGTAATCCCTAAATCCTGGACTGGTAGGGGATCCTTGAGGACTGGGTTGGGAACCCCTGGTCTAGAGGATCAGCAGCGCTAATAATCAAAGGCAGGACAGATAAAGTAAAGTAAAGTAGAGAAAGCCTCTCTCCCTGTTAAACTTACTAAATATGCATAGAAGGAAAAAAATGAAAGGAAAAACTGAAATCATAACAAATACGTGTATCACACAGTGCAGTGAAGTGCCCATGTGTGTGCAAGTTAAAATTGACCCATAGGAAAGAGCCTATAATTATAATTATATATATAATTGTAGCAAACCTCAAATTAAATCTTTCTGTGTCTTGTCAAGAGACAATTATTAATAAATAACCAAAAAACGCTACTAAAAACAAAGCATTAAGTATTTTTGAGTACGATGCATCAAGATTTGAACAACTGGGTTTCTGGATTTGGCAGTTTCTGTTATTCATCCCTGCAGATCCTCTCAGGTTCTGGCAGGTTGAATGGGGACCGCTGATGGTAAAAAAATGGTAAAAATGGTGTCTTTTTTTACCATTTTGAAAAAACCTTAAAGGTGAAACGCGTAAATGGTTGTAATAAGTGTATTTTAGTCAATAAAAGTTATTTTTGGTTACCCTTCGTTATAGGACCAACTTTATACTTATTTTTATTGTACTATATACTCTTTTTATTTATTTTTTAACTCCTTGCATTTTTATATTATTTTTGAAACTACTAACTATTTTTATTTTATTTTATATTATACTTTTACTATTCTATTTTTTACTACTGAAGTGTATCCTGTCCAAAGAAATCCGGAGGTGGGGATAATTCCACCAGTGCTGTGGCAATAGAGCAGTACCTGTCTGCTCTATTTTTGTAAGTATAACTTATTTTAACATATTACTGTGTTGTTCGTACTGAGAGCACTATCTGCTGTTTTATATATCTTGTGGACATCCACTATCCAATACCGGAGAGGCGGACCTATCTCCCCAGCATAACAAAAACGCACATCTGATGAGTAAGTCCTAGCCTACATCAAAGAAATCTCAAGCCGGACGGACGGACCAACTGTTTAAGTATATCCGATAGTGGGGATTAAACCACTAAGTGCCTCTTCTCCTAGAGCTGGTTAGAGCTCCAACAAATGTGAGTGAAATACCTTTCTTTTGAACATATACCATATTTTGGACATACAATATTTCACCATTGGAAGCTTTTTTCTCTTATTTTTGTCTTCACATATATGGACTACCTACCATAAGGACGGAGCGACACTTGAGGACTTATATTATATTACTACACACCAGTGAGACTGTTTTAATTTATATTTTTTATTCGGATAAACTTTAATTGTTTTTATCCCTTTTATTCATTTTAGTCAAAGCGCAGCCCTTAACTTCTCTTTTTTGTACCTTCTTGTTTCTAAAAGGGTTTCGTGAGGGATTCCCTTTTAGGGTTGCTGCTCTTTTGAGTTAGCGCAGACTCTTCCCCTCTTCTATTCTTACCATTTGTCAGCCAGGCCCAAGGTGATATTAAAAAAAAATTGCAAAAGTTAGAAGGATTTGTAGGGATGTCCATATCACAGCTAATGGAGATTGCAAATACAGTATATATGAATAGGGAAACTGAGATAAAGCGGGAGGAAGAACGTAAAATGAGGAAGAAGGCAGATATGCTAGCGGTAGCTATCACAAGTGTAGAAAGACAGGGAAGGGAGGTGAATAAAGGAGTCGAGAATAGGCTGAGTAAGGGACCTTAAAGTAGGAATCAATGTGCGTATTGTAGAGAGGAAGGACATTATGAAAATAATAGACAAGGAGAGAGAAGAGTACGGGGAGGTTATAGTGGTAGTTATAGAGGAAGAGGAAGTTTTGGAGGGAACGGTGGGAATAGTAGAGGGAGTGTTCAAGGAGATAGATATTATCCACCTACTCAGAGACCAAGAGATAGAGAGGATAGAGATTTTGTGGGTCTGGCTGACACTATCATGGAAGACTATTGATACCGACCGGGCTCCATCCCCCTTGGCCGAGTGGAGCTTATGGTCAATCTAGCAATAGGGAGAAAGAGAAGTTTTTTCATGATTTACACTAGTGCTGAACCTTCCGTGGTGACTAAACTGGTGGCTCCGTCTTCAGGAAAAACTATAACTGTGATAGGAGCTACTAGGAGAAGCGCAGCTAGACCGGTTCTTAAAAGTTGCTCTTGCATACTGGGAGGCCATTTGGTGAAGCACCAGTTCCTATATATGCCAGAGTGTCCGATTCAACTTCTAGGACGAGATCTATTATCGAAGCTTCAAGCCCAGATAACCTTTCTACCCAATGGATCAAGGTCTCTGAGGTTTAATGGATTACCAGACATAATGGCGGTATCGGTGCCAAGGGAAGAAGAATGGCGCTTCTACTCCATAATGACAAGTGTAAACCCTAAGAGTGATGCACCTTTATTTGACATTCCAGGAGTATGGGGAGAGAATAATCCACCTGGGCTTGCTCGTAATATTCCACCTATACATATAGAACTAAAGCTTGGGGCCTATCCTGTGAGCCTACTTCAGTATCATATACCTCAAAAGGCTAAGAAAAACATACAGACCTACTTGGATAAGTTCGTAAGGTATGGCATCCTAAAATTCTGTACTTCCCCCTGGAACACTCCATTATTACCTGTTCAGAAACCAGGATCAGATGAATATCATCATGTACAAGATTTGAGAGCAGTTAATGATGCAGTAGTCAATATACACCCAGTTGTACCCAACCCTTATAATCTGCTTGCTTTGAGACCAGGTGGGGCAACCTACTTCACAGTTCTAGACCTTAAGGATGCTTTCTTTTGCCTTTGGATTGCTGCTGAGAGTCAGTGTATCTTTGCTTTCCGATGGGAAGATGCTGTTACAGGTTCAAAGCGTCAGATGACCTGGACCAGACTACCTCAAGGGTTCAAGAATTCACCTACCCTATTTGGATCTGCATTAAGCCAGGATTTGCAAGATTTCAAGTCCATCCCAGGAGAATGTGTATTGCTTCAATACGTGGATGATCTTTTGATAGCGGCTGTTACTGAAGAGATATGCCAACAAGCAACTTATGATTTGCTTCACATTCTATGGAGAGCAGGATACAAGGTATCAAGGAAGCGCAATTGTGCCAGTCAACTGTCAAATATTTAGGATTCCATATTTCCGAAGGTCAAAGAATAATGGGACCTGAAAGAAAAGAAGCAGTGTGTCAGCTATCTATACCTAAGAATAGAAGACAAGTGCGAGAATTCTTAGGAGCAGCAGGATTCTGTAGGATATGGATTCCTAATTATGCGATACTGGCGAAATCTCTATATGAAGCTGTGAAAGGCACAGAATATGACCCCTTTTTGTGGACCTCTGAACAACAGAAGGCATTTGAGGATGTTAAGAAAGCACGTAGGAGTGCCCCAGCCTTAGGTCTACCAGATCACACCTTTCTATCTGTACGTACATGAGCAAAGAAGAATGGCTGTGGGAGTATTAACTCAGTATTTGGGATCATGGCAAAGACCTGTAGCTTATATGTCCAAACAGTTGGATGCAGTGGCCAGTGGTCTTCCAGCTTGTCTGCGAGCAGTGGCCGCCGCTGCCTTGTTGCTAGCAGAGGCTGACAAGCTCACATTGGGTCAGGAACTCTATGTGCGAGTACCCCATGCAGTACAGACTCTATTGGATTACAAAGGAAATCATTGGTTTAGCAACAGTCGAATGACCAAATATCAAGCTATGTTATGTGAAAATCCAAGAGTACACATCGAAACTGTCAATAATTTGAATCCAGCTACCCTTCTGCCCCAGACTACTGAAAGTCAACATGATTGTTTGGAGATAATGGATGAAGTGTTTTCAAGCAGGCCTGATCTTCATGATTTCTCCATCCAGAATCCGGACATACAGTATTATGCAGATGGTAGTAGTTATGTGAAAGAAGGTATACGTTATGCATGGTATGCGGTAACAACTTTAGACAAGGTGATAGAAGCACGGCCACTGTCGAAAGGGACATCAGCACAGAAGGCGGAACTGATTGCATTAACAAGGGCCTTGCAATTAGCTGAAGGGTTGAGAGTGAATATTTACACAGATTCGAAATACGCTTTTCTAACCACCCATGCCCATGGAGCATTGTATAAAGAAAGGGGATTGTTGAATTCAGAAGGGAAATAAATCAAGTATGCAGTAGAAATACTCCAACTGTTAGAGGCGTTATGGGAACCGAAGGAAGTCAGTATTATACATTGCAGGGCACATCTGAAAGGTGATAGTAATGTACAAAAAGGAAATCGCATGGCCGATAGTGCAGCAAAACATGCCGCTGAATCCGGCAAGAGGAATATGTGGGGTATGTTGCTGCCCTTGTGCCGGCACCTCTGTCTCAATGCACTCCGATATATAAAACCCGAGAGATGGAGTGATTGAAGGCTGAAGCTGGGAAATACTTGGAGAATAATTGGTATCAGTTAGAAGATGGAAGAATAATTATTCCGACATCTCTGGCTATAGAGATTGTTCAGAACTTCCATAATGGTACACATTCAGGTAGAGATAGTATGGAAGAATCTCTCAGGAAACATTTCTACATACCAAGATTATCCAATCTTACTCAATCTATTGTTCGAAGATGTGTTTTGTGTGCTCGAAACAATGCAAGACAAGGCCCTGTCAAGCCCCCTGGAGTTCAATATATGGGAGGACTCCCAATGTCAGATTTGCAAATAGACTAAACTGTAATGCCTAAATCTGGGGGATATCATTACTTGTTGGTAGCTGTGTGTACCTACTCAGGTTGGGTAGAAGCTTGTCCAACTCGTACAGAAAAGGCAGAAGAAGTTGTTGCGAGAAGTTACACCCAGATATGGACTTCCGTGTTCTATCGGATTAGACAATGGTCCAGCCTTTATCCATCAGTGTTTAAAACAATTGACTCATGTGCTTGGTATTAAGTGGAAACTTCATACAGCATATAGACCTCAGAGTTCTGGAAAGGTGGAAAGGATGAACAGAACAATAAAAACCCAATTGGCTAAAATGTGTCAGGAAACTCAGCTCAAGTGGAATATCCTTTTGCCAATAGTTCTGTTGCGGATACGTAGTACTCCTAAGAATGGGTCTGTCTCCCTTTGAAATCGTGTATGGGCGTCCACCTCCCATACTCAGTAATCTAAGGGGGAACTTGAGTCAGTTGGGTGAAGAAATTACTCGGCAGCAGGTTGTAGAGTTGGGTAAAACTATGGAGAATGTACAGAAATGGGTGCAAAATAGTTTACCTGTGAACATATATCCACCTGTTCATTCCTATCAACCGGGAGATCAAGTGTGGATAAAAAAATGGAATATTGTTCCATTAGGTCCAAAGTGGAGGGGTCCTTATGTTGTTCTTTTATCTACTCCAACAGCTGTAAAGGTGGCAGAAGTGACTCTGTGGATTCATCATTCTAGGGTTAAACCAGCGGAAGATTCTTGGCAAGCTATTCCAGATTCTGAAAATCCTTGCAAGATCCGGTTAAAGCTTGTCACTCAGTCGGAGTAAGAAATAATACGAGGAGATATTGGGACATCTTAGTTGAAAGTAACAACAGATATCAGCAAGTGGGTGTTTTGACGGCCATAATAAAGCCTGACCACCTACCTACGTGTCATAGCCAGAGTGTCTCGAATGGACCTCTGTGAAGAAAAGTGAGGATCAGAAGAACGTCAATCCTTGCAGCCCTCACAATCGGGAAGCTGAGGTGCCGTCGCATGGTCGAAGAGTAGAAATGAGGACTTCTGAAATAATATGTTATATTATGTGTTTAGACATTTTTGTAATTTTTCAGGAAGGTAAAGGTGAGGACATACAGAGTTGTGTTAGCTGCATTAAGACTACGAAAACAGGTAACTAAATATCCCAAACTCTCACTTGGCACTCACAGTATGAGTGTAGGGGATCTGTAGCTAAGTGTAGATATTTAGATATAGATTATAGTGTGTGCAAACCAATATCAGGAGAGCATAAATGTTTTGATCCCCAATTCCAACCCCGTACAATTTGGTTGGTAATTTGGAACAGTAACTCCCAGGGGACCTTGATAAATAGGACTGTGATAAATACCATACATTCTACGGCATTCTACTATTTGATGCATGTAAGGCGATCTCAGGTAGTGGAAAACCTTGGAATGTATGTGGTAATCCTAAATGGGAACAAACTTATGGGTTTAATGATAAATATGTATGTCCCAGTAAAAGATCTATTGATCCTGATTGCCCAAATAGGGATTTTAATTAGTGTCCATATTGGTCTTGTGTAGGGTGGGCGACCTAGGGAAAAACTGTGGATTAAGATTTGATTATCCAAAGGTTGCCCACTACACCACACTGTAAGTCTATGGAATGTAATCCTGTCCATATGACCATCTCTAATCCACAACATTTTATTGATAAGTTTGGAAATCTATTTGGGTTCCAAATATATTGCACAGGAGTAGATCCAGGGACCATAACTTGAAACTGAGACGATAGCAACTCAAACTCATCAGGTTTTTCATTCCTTCTATGAGGAGATGAGTGTTGAGGCTAAAATTCCCCATAATGTTAAGAACCTATTTATTGATTTGGCTGAAAGTGTTGCGGGTAGTCTTAATGTAACTAATTGCTTTGTATGTGGAGGTACTAATATGGGAGACCAGTGGCCATGAGAGGCAAAGGAAGTATGGTACCCTGGTTCTGAGACAGATGAACAACAAATACTTTCTCAGTCTGATCATCAAGTAAGTACTAGAGGTAAATCTGAGTGGCGGTTAAAAACCTCTATTATAGGTCATGTATGTTTAGCCAGGAAAGGGCCATTGTATACCACACCTGTTGGTGAGTTAATATGTCTAGGACAAAAGGCCGGTAATCCCGATACTAAAGATACTACTTGGTGGTCAGCTTCAAATGTCTCAGAGCCTACTAATCCGTTTGCCAATTACACCAATTTAAAAGAGGTATGGTTTGACTTATCTGCTACATCCAATTGGAAGTCCCCAGCTAATTTATATTGGATCTGTGGTAAGAAAGCATATTCAGAGTTACCACAAGATTGGGAAGGAGCATGTGTATTAGGTATGCTCAAACCATCCTTCTTCTTGTTGCCAGTTGAGATAGGAGAGACCTTAGGAGTTAAGGTTTATGATGTAAACCATAAAAAGAAGCGAGCATCCTTGAATATAGGTAGCTGGGAAGATGATGAGTGGCCTCCCCAACGCATTATTAATTATTATGGACCTGCTACTTGGGCAGAAGATGGTACCTATGGATATAGAACCTCAATATATATGCTCAACAGTATTATAAGACTACAGGCGGTGGTTGAGATTATCACTAATGAGACAGCTCAAGCACTTAATCTTCTAGCTAAGCAAAAATGAGATCAGCCATCTATCAAAATAGATTAGCTCTGGACTATCTATTAGCAGTAGATGGAGGTGTATGCGGAAAGTTTAATCTCAGCAACTGTTGTTTGCACATAGATGATAAGTTGGCTGAACTTACAAGCCACATGGTTAAACTGACGCATGTACCTACTCAGGTGTGGAATGGGTATAATCCTAGTAGTTGGTTTGGAAATTAGTATGAGCACCTTGGAGGGATTAAGGCATTAGTAGGAGGAGTAGTATTCATTATATTATTATGTCTCTTTCTGCCCTGCCTAATTCCATTAGAGGTCAGATCTATACGTAGTATCATAGAGAGTACTATAGAAAGAAAGACAGCTGCTCATGTAATGGCTGTCTATAGATATGAATCCCTAGCCCAAAGAGAACATATCCAGGATGAGGAATGCTGAAGGAGTTTGTGATGATGCTAAGATGCTTACAAGGTCTGTTCTGGTCCATGGCTACTTGAGAGGTGTTGGTAAACTATGATTGGTGATCCATCTGGAATAATTTTGTATCAGAGGCATCAAAGGGGGGAATGTGATGGAATTTCGGTGAAATGTAAATTTAGTAGGCCGAGATTTCCACATGGCATATGTGTATGTTGTATCAGTTAGTTAGTTACACGTAGCTAAGATACTGTCATCAATGTACTGAGCATGTGCAGGAATGCAGGAACTGAAATTACACTCCTTTCTCCTTTGTTTCGGATGAGTCATGTGGTCTGCCCATATAAGGAAATCCAAATCCTGTCCACTGATTGGTTAAGGGTATGTGCGGGTGGAGCTATTAATGGGAGGAGTTATAGTTCTATAAAAAGCATGTACTCCATGTGTTCGGCCC